TCATGAGTGAGTAACGTTAATTTACGTCGCCACGCCGCTTGTCAGTTGAGATGTCAGTTGAGCTAAAGTCTGCTGTTTGCTAGTTTCTGCGCTTAGTTGACTCAATGGCCGGTTAACAGAAACCCTTAAACACCACCAAATGTAAGTATTTATTTTAATTTAAAAGGCTTATTTCAAATAAACAACCTTAAAGACAGCGTGTTGTTGGGACGGTGCTGGTCTGTTGTTGTTATTGTTCAGTAGCTGCTAACATATGCTAACAATTAACTTAACGTTATACTCTGATGCTGTTTAACGGTAATTCAAAATATAGAACGTTGTCTACGTTACAAACGGTCTTACATAACGGTTATTGTCTGATAGCAGGTGGTTCAAATATCTACAGTTTAAATGAAGGAGCTAATGGTAGCTAAGAGTGCATTAATTAAAGCCAGAGGTGGAACAAGTACTTAGATCTTGTACTTGAGTAAAAGTAGAAGTACTCAGATCTTGTACTTGAGTAAAAGTAGAAGTACCAGAGTGTAGGAATACTCTGTTACAGTAAAAGTCCTGCATTCAAAGGTTACTCAAGTAAAAGTAGGAAAGTATTAGCATCAAAATATAGTTAAAGTAACGACAGTAAAAGTAGTCATTGTGCAGATTGGTCCATTTCAGAATAATATATATGATATGTTTTATAATTATTGATCATTAAAGTGTTATCAAAGCTGGTAAAGGTGCAGCTAGTTTGAATGATTTTGTATACTGCAGGTACTGTAGATGTAACTTATAGTTTCACTGTCTCCTGTAAAAGTAGATTGGTACATTTGCCTGCAAACAAGCTAAAAATAGGAGGTCTTAAAGTAAAAGTATTTGTATCTGGTGACCGCCCTGGAGCTGTACTGTAGCTAACTCCAAGTATTTTGGTTTAGAAAGTTTACCAAGTTTGCCCAGGATGTATGAGGTTGTTTGTCCCTCTCTGCGTATTGGTGAAGTAGCTGTAAAAACCCTGCGCATGTTTGCCTTGTTATCTAAGTTGACTTATTCAAAAGATAAATCCCTCATGCATGTTTGTATTGTTTGTATCGGTCATGTAGCATGAACAGCTTTTCAGTTACAGATATGAATACATCATAATATGAACCTTGTCTTTGTTGTGTTCTCTAAGTTATATAACTAGCCATAAGCAAAGTTTTCAGTACTAAATCCTCTACAACAATGGAACCAGTGTGTCCAGGTTTCCTGTAGACAGCTTAATAAATCCTGTGATGATGTAAGTGTTGTGTAAATGTTAAAGTCGGGACTAACAGAGACTTTCTGTTCCACAGTGAAGCAAAGGAGTAAAAGAGGGACTTACAGATATGGGTGCCCTGATATCCAGATGGAGGGTAGGTGGATGAAAGAAGAGAGCACACACAAAAGACACTTTAGGTTTAGGTACCATATAGGAAACGTGTTGAAAGAAAGTAGTAGCATTGCTTTTTATAAACAAGCAAGATAAAGCACAACCAATCCTATGTCAAAACAAGTTCTTCAAATCTTAACAAAGTTCCCTTTTAAGAAAAGATTAAGCTGATAAAACTGATTTTGTAGGCCTGAGATCTTCTGGAAGAACATTGTCTTTCATCACAGGCTTTTCATCTAAAGGGTTGATAAATCATTTGGGGCCAATTCGTGCATTATGTCGCTCAGTGTTAGTCAAATCTTAACATCAGTTGCTAAATATACAGCAACAGATGTAGATAGTCTACACTCTATAAGATTCCCCTCGGCCGTGACCAGTCAAGTTCTTAAAATAGACATTTAAAGGTTATTGTTTTATTTAGCGTTTGGTCTGCAGCAGTGAACAGACTTCTCAAGTTGTCTCCAGATTAAAGTCACACAACCATTGAAAAGAGTTGTGTTACTTGAAGATTTCTGTTCATTTCCTTCTAAGTGTGTATGTATAGTATTTGACTTCTTAAGCCTTGAAGAGTGAGCTTGAACACTGATTCAAAGTGGATTTCTTTCTGTTTTGATAACAGTGTTTGAGATAATTAGTGTGTGTGTGTAGCTGTCATCAAAGTGAACCCTGCACACGAGCTGGATGAGATTCATATAGGCCGGCTATTTTTAAAACATACTAGAGAAGTCAAAGGGAAAGGGAGGGAGGGAGATGGTGAGAGAGTGAAACCCTTGCTTTTATAATACATTCATTCAAGGTTCAAGCTTGAACAGGGATCTGGGGATGTATAGATTTAAAATGTGAAATCACATGAGCTCTTATTGACATTAGCCTGAGATATTTCAGTAAACGAGATACTGAGACCTTGAAAAGTCACAAATAGCATAAACAGGCGGATTGTTTACCGTCAAATCACTCGGTTCTGAATCACAAAGTGTTCATTAATCTGATTAACCTGACATTATTATCTGATTTTTATCCTGAATCCAGACAAAGCCAACCACAGTGAAGCAGCTGGAGAACCATGAAAAGGTACTGATACCAAAATGCGTCTGATTTAATGCACTTATAGCACAGGGAATATATGTTCAGTTTCCCTAGGTTTTCCCATACAGTATGAGTTCATTCAAATGAAACACAGCTGCCTATTATCCATTTTAATTTTGAATAATGACGATAACATACAGTACTTTAACTGGGGAATGTTTTGAAAGCAGGATTATTCAATTATTGGATAATCACACTAACCATGAGCCAGTAAACAAAACAATATTGAATATTAACACGGTTTTCTAGCCATATACCAAATTAAATCGGAGAACAATGAAGAAGGATTTCCTGAACTCACATTTGGGGAATTCTTACCATCTGATTATTTGTTGCACTGTTGAAATAACCTGACTGTTCCCTTTGTAGGAGATTAAAGAGCTGGAGGAGTTCAGAGCCAAAAACCAACGTCTGCAAAAGGTAGAGTCGACAAAACGGCAAAGACGTGCATTGATATCCTTCATTTGTAATTCCTAATATCTGATCAATGAATATCTGTGTATCTGTGTGCAGCTGTGGGTCGGCCAGTTAATTCTCTACTCGTCGGCCTTCTACCTGCTGACCTTTCTGGTGGTTTACTGCCTCTATCTGCCGGAACAATGGTTCCAGAGAATAGTCATGGCCGTGCCTTTCTTCATTTACCCCGTGCTGTGAGTCATCATGTTGTCCGACACTATCCTTCAAAACCATGGGGAAAGTTTTAATGTGGCACACAGCGCCATCGATGTGTCCTCTTCAAATTTGAGTTGATAACAGCTGTATTTTCCATTTTTCCTCGTCCTCAGAGTGTGGTTCATCAGGAGGTTGTTGGTCTTTCTCTTTTCCAAACGCACTGAGAGGAACAGTAAGTTGTCTTTACCTCTTCATCTGTTCATCGATCCGAACAGCTAACACAAATATCATATCTTTTTCAAGCTTTTGTTCATTTTTAAGCCGAAACAAATAACCCTTTGACTGTGAAAACGACTAACATTAGTTGCATTTACAATGATTTTTTTGTACCACCTTTACCTGTTGTGGACTCGATAGATATTTAATCCATGCATTCTTTACACGGGGTTCTTACGGTCATTAAAAACCTGGAAAAGTCATGGAAATGCAAAATGCTAATTCCAGGCCCTGGAAAAGTTATGGAAAACAATATTTTTCCCAAAGTTTTGGAAAAGTCATGGAAATTTAACTAAAGTTGCATCAAATATAATTTATATTTTATCTAATTGCCGAAATAGTAATACTATAATGATAATAAATACTGTATCGTATAGTAATGAAACGTAAAATGGCATTTAACTGACGAGGTGTTTGCTGGTGAGAGATTTGAGTTGCTTTAGCGTGTAGAAGCTAGTAAGCCTATTTGATTTGCACAACATGTTTCATATGCAGACCTTATTTTCCTGTTCCATGTTAAAATAAACCATTTTCAGTGGTACCGCTGAGAAAGAGAATTTTTTTGGTCATGGAAAATTAGGTAAAGGTCATGGAGAAGTAATTGAAAATCATTGGTGAAAAAGTGTATTAACCCTGTTTATAGGAGTAAACTATGCAGCAATTTTATACATGGCATATTAACATGTCAAACTGGCCTGTGCTGTAACAGGGTGTCCGCGGGGTCTTAAAAAGTATTAAAAGTTGATAAATTAGCTAAAATTAAGGCTATTAAAAAGTATTAAACGGCATTTTCCAAGGTATTACATTTTGTAGCTTGTTTTCAATAAATATATAAATTGTCCAAAGAGGTATTCTACAGTCTGCCTGAATGTAATCATTGCGTAGGTGTGTAGTGTGATTCTGTGTAGTTTATGTATGGCATCCCGTTGGATTTGACGTCATCTGAACAGGAAAACGTGGAACATGGAAATGAATTACTATTAAGTAAACTGATTACAATTATTGTTATTTTGCCATTTTTTTTAGATGATAAACTGGAAGAACTAAAGGCTTCCAAAAAGAAGATTGTAAGTGTCCAATTTTCTTGAAATGTAATGTGTCTGTCTTTTTATACCGACTTGTTTAAAGAAATGTTGGATGTTATGGGTTTAGTGAGTGTTACTGTTGTCTCTAAAACATCTTTCCAATGTGCCAGGTAGTATTTCTTTCAACAACAACTTGTCAAACAGGAATTGCTGCTTATTTAATGCGTTTGACTGACTGATATAGAGTGCCACAGTGACGAGTCCTAAAACCCGGAAGTAAGTTAGCATTTTACCACTTCCTGTTCCCTCGTCTCGGAGCCAATGGGATCTCTCCATAGGATTTTGGAAAATAGCTGGAAATAAGGTCTGTGGTTGAGACACATTGAAGAGACGGATCACGTTACGACATTAAATCCATCAGCAGTGACCCCACTGGTGATTTCTGAAGAGTTGACGTGTCTGAAAAACGATGGTTGTTACCAAGTGGCTGAATAGGACTACAGAAGTTGTCGAGGACGTTGTACGTCATTACGCCGAACACGTGAACACTCCTCTAAGTTTGTTTGCCCTGTTCTGCTTGAAAGCAAGTACCTGCCTCCTGCAAACTGTTCAAACAAACGCTTCAACTCGTACCATTTAGAATCTGTATGTTTGAATATGGATCTTAAGTTGGCGTGACGTTGAAGCAGCGACCCTGCTGTAGTTCCTTTATAGCATAACGTTAGCATTTTGCTTCTGGTGACTAGAAAATGATAAAAGTAGGGTAGACATGTGGAGATTATCCGGCTGAACAAAACGTGATCCGTCTCTTAAATGTGTCTCAACCACAGACCTTATTTCCAGCTATTTTCCAAAATCCTATGGAGAAATTGCAGTGCGTTTTTGTCGAAGGAACCGGAAGGAGTTTACTTCCGGGTTTTAGGACGCGTCAATGTGGCCCTCTATTTAGGCTCATTTTGACACGCTTAGCTACTTTTGTTGTATTCTCTTATATGTAATTGTCCTTTTAAACATTTGTGTTTTGCTTCTTTGAGAGCTCATTTGTGAATGAATCAATGGTCCACATTTAAGAGCACAAGGTAAACTTGTACGTTGTTTCCAGCTGGAGGAAGTGATGGAAACGGAGACGTACAAAAACGCCAAACTCATCCTGGAACGCTTTGATCCTGAAGCAAAGAGGAAAGCTGTAAGTGCTGCTTTTGTCTTTCGCTGTATCTGTGGGTTTGTTTCGATCTGATCTTTAATTATATCTTATATCGTTTTGTTTTCTGCTGTGTCGTAGGAGCTTGAGTCGACTCCGGTGCGTCCTCAGATGACTCCCAGGCCAGGACAAGGTACGACTCTCATCAATAACACGACACAAAGATAAAGCAACACATTTAAAGTTCTTAGTTATGCTGTTATGTTCAGTCATCGTTCTTATGTTGAACGTGAATACATTTACTTTGTAAGTAATTATGGGACGTATTTCTTCTTTCATAGCAATTTTCCTTCGTACTTTCTTGCCGTGAAATAGGTCTTAAATTCGATTCAATGTGGTCTTAAAAAGTCTTACATTTGAGTTGGTGAAACCTACAGGAACCCTGTTCTTTAGATGGAACTCAGACCAGAGTTATGTGGAGACAAGAGCTACGAAAACCAACACCTTCTCATCAGAATTAAAGTGTCAAAGTCACATCAAATGGTTGCATCTGCAAAATGACCAGTTTCTATTATTTATTCCTCCTTTTTCGTGCAGAGATTCGACAGAGAGGCGTGCCAATGAGACCGATGCTGATGGGAACCCCTATTGCGATGGCTATGACTCCCCAACATGGAGCTCGTCTCCAAATGGGACCGGGGGGGACGCCTGTGGGTAAGAGGGAATACAGAGATACTTCACATGAAGGATGGTGAATTTTCCACACAGCAGATAGGGCAAAAGTACACACATCCTTTACTCAATTAGAAGTACAGATACTTGTGTTTTAAAATACTCTGGTAAAAGTAGAAGTACTGACTAAACTTCTTTACTCAAGTAAAAGTAAAGAGGGCTTTGAAATGTACTTCAGTAAAAAGTACCCATAACTACCATCTGTTTTAAAGAGTACCTGACCTCCCTTTATATTAATAGAACAATAATGTCATTGTTAGCTAATGAATGTTTCCATGCTGAACAACGGCAACATGACAACGTTTTCATTGGTCCCTCTTCTTTAGAGAAGACCAGGAAATGATGGATACACGGATCGTGTTCAAATCAATAGGCACGCAATGACTCTAAATAATAATGATCACGCCACCAAACACACATTCAAACTAAAGGAACCAGCCTGTTTGGAAAATGTAAGAAGTAGAAAGTACAGGTATTTGGGTTCAACATGTAAGAAGTAGAAAGTACAGGTATTTGTGTTCAAAATGTAAAAAGTAGAAAGTACAGGTATTTGTGTTCAACATGTAAGAAGTAGAAAGTACAGGTGTTTGTGTTCAAAATGTAAGAAGTAGAAAGTACAGGTATTTGTGTTCAACATGTAAGAAGTAGAAAGTACAGGTATTTGTGTTCAACATGTAAGAAGTAGAAAGTACAGGTATTTGTGTTCAACATGTAAGAAGTAGAAAGTACAGGTATTTGTGTTCAACATGTAAGAAGTAGAAAGTACAGGGATTTGTGTTCAACATGTAAGAAGTAGAAAGTACAGGTATTTGTGTTCAACATGTAAGAAGTAAAAGGAAAAAGTCGTCAGAAAAATAAGTAGTGGAGTAAAGTACTGATACCAGAAAAATGTACTTAAGTACAGTAACGAAGTATTTGTACTCCACTACTTCCACCTCTGATTGTGGAAAGCAGATTCTCAGGCGTTCAGGTCGTGGTGAAGTCAAAGCCATCTGGAGTGAACATCAACCCCCAGCTGGCTTTGACTCGCTTGTTTTAGACGTCCAAATGTGCCTTTATCCGGTGTCGCTCTCCCTACAGAACCTGTCCCTCTCTCAGCTCCAGGAGGACCTCCGGAGAGATCCGCTCTGTCTGCCTCCGTCCTGCAGGGGTCACCGTCCAGAACCCCCTACTCTCCCATACCTGGAGTAGGTAGGTGAACAAAGAAACATCTCCTGTAGCTGTATTCAATATTCAAGGGACAGTTTCATCCCACAGGCCATAAGACTGTTAAACACATGAACTTTTGAAAGAACATCCATAACATCTGTTTGCAACTTATATCAATATTCCAATTACTTGTATATAGACTATTCTGCACTGTTTCTATTATATTCTATTTTATTGTATTTACTTGCACTATTTTATCTGTTGTATTATGTTGCTCTGTTGGAGGAGCCTGTGACCTCAGATGTTCATTGCCATAACTACACTGTAGCTATGTACACATGACAATAAAAGCCTTAATCTTGAAGGCTTTATTGTCACGTGCAAAGTAGCTACAGTGGAGTTATGGCAATGAAAAACTGAGGTCACAGGCTCCTCCAACAGAGCAACATGAATATATATAGGTCATAAAACAAATAAAACATATAAAATAGTGCAAGAGAATGTTTTGAGATGTGCAAGTAAATACAAATAGAATAGAAATAGTGCAAGAGAGAAGTAAATGGAATACGATATATTGATGCAAACAGATGAATGTTTATGGATGTTCTTTACAGAGTTCATTTCTGCAACTTAAGTTTGGGATACAGCTCTTGATCGATATGAAATGCACTTAAATATTTAAGATTTTAGAAAAGTACTGCATCCTTCTTAGTGTGTGTGTATTTATTTCCATGTGTGTGTGTGGACTGTTTTTGAAGGCATGCACCCACCCGGTCCTCCGTTAGCGAGACCCATTCTGCCCAAAGACAGAGGAGCCGTGGACCGAGTCATTGAGTACCTCGTAGGGGATGGACCACAGAACAGGTGAACATCCTTTTTAAACTAACTGTTGGGAAAATACTGAATGTCCTCTCTTCCAATATCAGAGTAACATGATAACAAAGGTATCCCAACTGTAGCTGTGTACATGACAGGATGTCTGATTACCTAGAAGAGCATCAGGACTGTTTGAGGCATATGATAGCTATGTGATTAACATGATGATTCAGCCTCTATGGAGATAGACATATGACAAGCATGATCATTTCTGACGTGGAGCTAATCTGAAGTAAACATTGAATACTGCTTTCTATTCCTCCATCTTGTGACTGTGTAACTCCCTCTCTTGGATATCAGCATGTGAAGGACACTGTTCAGGAACTAGTTGATGCTCTGTATGTGATGACTACTTCCATTCTGGAGAGGATCAGGAATACATGGATCCTGAGATTGAAGCTCAAGCCAGTGACGAGTGATTATTAACATTTTTTCAGAAAAAGTCAGAATTTTGAGTTTGAGAAAAAAAGTCAGAATTTTGAGATTTTGAGAAAAAAAGTCAGAATTTTGAGACTTTGAGAAAAAAAGTCAGAATTTTGAGAAAAAAGTCAGAACTTTGAGAATAAAGTCAGAATTGAATTGCATGATTACCTACAAGACCCGGTATTCCTCCATCTTGTGACTGTGTAACTCCCTCTCTTGGATATCAGCATGTGAAGGACACTGTTCAGGAACTAGTTGATGCTCTGTATGTGATGACTACTTCCATTCTGGAGAGGAGATCCTGAGATTGAAGCTCAAGCCGGTGACCAGTGAGATCTTTCTAACACTAACAAACTCACATTCTCATAAAGCAGGCTGCAGAATCCCCACAGGAGTGGTGTTCAGTATTTCTCAGACCTCCTCTAGCTATATCTACTTTACTAGTGGGAGGTCATAGCGACAGTGATTGAAGTAGCTGCAACAGAAACTATAAAAAGGGAAAAAGCTGAAGTTCATTCTGCAGATGTCATCAATCTAAAGTACCAATCATAACGTCTAAAGCACCTTATTAAAAGTATTCTAGGAAACATGTAATTACTGACTGAAGTAGATAGATAGATGGATAGATGGATAGATGGATGGATAGATGGATAGATGGATAGATGGATAGATGGATAGATGGATAGATGGATAGATAGATGGATAGATAGATGGATAGATGGATGGATAGATGGATAGATGGATAGATGGATGGATAGATGGATAGATGGATAGATAGATAGATAGATAGATAGATAGATGGATAAATGGATAGATAGATGGATAGATAGATGGATAGATGGATAGATAGATAGATGGATAGATAGATAGATAGATAGATGGATGGATAGATGGATAGATGGATAGATGGATGGATGGATGGATAGATGGATAGATGGATAGATGGATAGATGGATAGATAGATAGATAGATAGATGGATAGATAGATAGATAGATAGATGGATAGATAGATAGATAGATAGATAGATAGATGGATGGATAGATGGATAGATGGATAGATAGATAGATGGATGGATAGATGGATGGATAGATGGATAGATGGATAGATAGATAGATGGATGGATAGATGGATAGATGGATAGATGGATAGATGGATAGATGGATAGATGGATGGATAGATGGATAGATGGATAGATAGATAGATGGATAGATGGATAGATAGATTATTTGAAAGTACTGAACACCACAAAAGTATTCAGTCTGTCCATCTCCCTTTGTCCCTTCTTGCTTCCCTTAGATACGCTTTGATCTGCCAGCAGTGCTTCTCTCATAACGGCATGGCTCTGAGAGAAGAGTTTGAGTATCTCGGTAAGAACAGAAACACACCACTGCACTAACTGAGGAGTAACATCTCAAATAACACTCAACACAATGTAAACTCTTTCTAAAGTACTGTGTTATTCATGTTTTATTATCTTTGCTTTTTAATGTTTCTAATGTGTTTCATGCTCTTAATGTCTTTCATTTTTGTAAAGCACTTTGAATTGCCTTGTGTTGAACGGTGCTATATAAATAAACTTGCCTTGTCTTAAAGTATACAATCTCTCCTTCTAAATGGTTATTATTATCTCCCCCCGCAGCATTTCGTTGTGCGTATTGCTACTTCCTGAATCCGGCCAGGAAGACGCGCCCTCAGGCTCCCAGACTTCCAGAGTTCAGCTACGAGAGGAGGCTGAGAGCAGAGTCTCGATCCCCAGGACCAGCACCTCGTTCCCCCCCAGACACAGAGGAGAGCGCCCCCCCCTCTGGAGGTACGGGAAAAACACAGAAACTCACAAGGTGGTCTCCTCAGGTCTGAACTGATGAAACAGGGTTAGAGCCAATAATAAAACTGTTGGAGAATACAGTGTCTGTTCTGATTGACACACTGACGTACAGAGAAGTAAATCAGGTTTAAATCTGAAGCGAGAAGGAGAAGAAATTGGTTCAGACCGAGATGATGAACATGTCTCATTCTCACCCTGTTGTGTGTATCCTAACAGAGTTTCCGTTAGAGCCGGTCAAGGTCTTCTTTGCTATTTATTGAGCTTTAAACAAATTGATAATAATCAAGTCATGTAGATGTATATTTTATTGAAAAGTAGCTTTTTTAATAAAAGTACATTTGACCCCCCTATCGCAACATCGTCAGCACTCACAGAGATGTCATTTTGAAAACATTTCATTTGTTGGTTTTCATCAATTATTTACTTCCATTCTTGAGAGGATCATAAATACATGGATCCTGAGATTGAAGATCAAGCCGGTGACGAGTGATTATTAACATTTTTAAGTATTCAGAAAAAGTCAACATTTTGAGAAAGTCAGAATCTTGAAAGTCTGAATTCTGAGATTTTTTGAAAGTCAGATTTTTGAGATTTTGAGAAAAAGTCAGAATTTTGAGATTTTTAGGAAAAAGTCAGAATTTTTAGATATCTTAAAGGGGACCTATCATGCAAAATGCACTTTTGTACGTCTTTTCTACATGAATATGTGTCCCCGGTGTTCCAGGGAACTCACCAAGTGTCAGAAAACACAACTCTCTATTTTCCTCCATACCCAAATCTCTAAAAAAGGGGCTGCAACGGATCTGATAAAAACTGATCCAGATTTGAACACTGTCCTGACGTCAGGACGGTGGCGCTACGGCTATTGGGCCAACTCCACCAATCAGGAGGAGACAGCCACGGCCATTGCCGTTCGAAAGCGCTGGAGACGCTGTAGTACATATGCCAGGCCAGTAGATGGTGCTGTTCTCACAGAATCTGCCCTTGCAAAAACAGAGCTAGAAATGGTCAAATTGAGCAAAATGAGGCATGGCTAAAATGCATGATCTGTTTGGTATTTAAAAAAAAAAAAAAAGTATAAATATGCCTTATATAGGTATGGTCCTACACTATATTATTCAAATATAGCATGATAGGTCCACTTTAAGTAAGTACTTAACAAATAAACTATGTAAAACTCAGTTAATGGGGTTCATTTTTAAATTGCATCAGTTTATAGTTCAGTCTAAAGTTCGGTAATTACCGGCTAACGGAAATTCTGGTATCCTAATGTTATGTACTCCTTCTCCTAACCCCATCGTGCATCTTAGAAAATTGCTCTAGTTGACCTTTTTTATTATTTTGTATTCTGATTCTTTTCTTAATGATGGCAGCAGAGTTGAGACGCCACCACCTTCAAATATAACCACGCTACAGGAAGCAACACATTATCATTTCAGAACTACAACTATCATTAGATAATCTCTCAATATATAGTGTTTGCCATTATGAAATCTGTTGAAATGACTGTTATGACTGTGTCTGTGGTGGTGCAACACAATCCAGATAATAACCAGAAAAATATAATTATACATTTTATTTATAAAGGTGCCTTTCAAGGGTAAGCAAAACACAAAACATTTCTTTCATTATATTAACATCACATCACGTAAATTAAAGTGCATGAAGGTAATACAAATACACACATTTTAGTGATGATAATATTTGACAATATTAATAATATATCAAAACATATAAATAAATACATTTAATAAGTACATATAATAAAAAAAGCTTACTTTTCTTCCCAAATATCCTCATTCTACATGAAATGCATAAAAATCTCCATGATAGAATGAAAATAATACATCTTACCTAAATGCTTGTTAGTGTCTTTTTGTAAATGTCCCCGCTGTGGGACTAATAAAGGATTTCTGATTAGAAATGAATCCAAAAAGAACAGAAAACAGACGTTCCCCTGCACATTTCCTTCCTGCGTCCTGGTACACACTAACTGTTGCGGTACAGTGACCCTTGGTGTGTGTAACGGTGTGATCTTGCCTCTAGCTAAGGCTCCGGCTCCGTGGAGTTCAGTCCACAGTTTCCACATCGGTCCACAGTTTCCACATCCAGCCGAGTCCAAAGAACCCTCTGAACCCTCAGAACCGACCTCTGCAGAGCCCAGGTTCCCCCCCTCTCCTGCACCCTCTGATCTGGGATCATTTCAATCTGATTTGGAATCTATAACTATAACACTGTAGAAAGGTTCAAATCTCACTAAAGCAATGATGGGTTTAAGCGGTTAATGGATGTGTTCACTAGAACTGGGTCAAGCAGAGTTTGCAAATACATTTTTCAGAGGATTACAATTCATCTTGCACAGACTGAACTGAAACACTTGATCTAGTATAGTCTGAAGAAATGTTGCTGTTTGACCCAGATCTGGTCAGTGCTTAAAATATCAAGACATATCTCCTGATTCACTAATATACTCTCAAATCCACAGAAATTAATGTCTAATCGTCAAATATTTTGCTCATAAAGTATGATTTAATTTCCAATCTTTTAACCCCTATTCTGATGAGACGTCTTTTTTAACCCTTAGATGCATAAGTGGGTCTTTTTTGACCCGGTGAGGTGGTTTTCTTGAAGTATCTTTTGTAATTACATTTTTTTATCATTTCATATTCCAGCTATTCCTCAAAAAACATGTTTTGGATATCATGCCATTCACATTTTAAATTTACATTTGATACATTTTAAGAAATTGTAGTTTTTGTATTACTACCCCAAGCTTCCATAAGTGGGTCAAAAATGACCCACATGTATTTTCTATGGGATCCTCTGGGAACCTTTGATTCTTATCACCTGTTGCTGTCAGGAATACATTCACTGTAGACCACACAGACGACATCACAAGTGACACCTCTCAGGAAGATTATTTCACACAGCAAGATCTGATACCTGTCAGTATAATAATAATAATAATAATAATAATACATTATATTTGTATAGGGCTTTTCAAGGACTCACAGTCGCTTTACAATATAAGGGAAGGTTAGGGTGGGGGGTATAGGACTATCAAACTTGATCAACCGGCATGGATTGATGGGGGGTGGGCTATGAGTAGACAAGAGGAGAAGAGATGAGTTTTGAAAAGGGACTGGAATACTGTGAGGGTCTCAGAATAGCGGAGATCTTTGCATCGATATGTTCAAAACGTTTTTTTTCAAAATGTAAAACAAATGTCTAAAATTCTAAATAGTGAAAAATTAAATATAAAATAAATCTAGTGTGAACCAAAATATAATACTAAATATTATACAAGTGATTTTTCTTAACCAAAATGACAAAAATGGCATAAAAACACATATTATTCTAATACGGGTCCTTTTTGACCCACTTATGGAAGAGTGTAGGGTCCAGTCACTCGGGCATCGAAGGGTTAAATATGGGCGCAAGAGATGTTATTATAACGGCTCTGATTGGTGGTTTTAATCAACACTCATTTACCCAATCCTAGTTGTCATTAAAGTGTCCAATAACTCATTTTTTCACTTCTAACCCTTGTTCAAGCTTATTAAACCCTACCTAAACTGCTAATCTTCTTGATTTATCTCTGATTTTAACTCCCAACAGTCAATCATGTCTCACATTGCAAACCATTTTAATTATCCGGGATGTTTCCCCCTCTTTACCTGCTGTTCTCTTTATGCTTTTATGTTTTATACTTGCTTTTTTTTGTCCTCAGATGAAAGAGAGATGACGGAGGAGGATACAGCCACTAAACAAGATGAAGAGGGTGAGAGCCAATCAGAAGAGCAGCTGCCACAGGAGGAGGAAGAGCAGCAGCAGGAGGAAGAAGTAGATGTAGAAGAAGTAGTTCAGGAGGAGGAAGAGGTGAAATCAGAGCAGAGTCACAGCGCCCCCTGTGAGACAGAGTCGTAATTGCATCGAGTGCAAACTAAAGGTTCTGTTATTGGCCGTGATAGACAGGTGGCATTTCAAAGCAATATACATTAATATCATTCTTTCTTACAACCTTTTTTTGGATCTGAAAACCACTTTTTTCTCGTCAAAACACCATCAAATAAAGCCAAGCATGTAGAGGAGATTATCTACTTTGTAAATGGTGCATAAAATGTTCATTTCTGGCATGCAGAATTATGCAAATCCTGTCCAATCAAACAACGATATTGCCTGAAATGACGCCAGCGTATCACGGCCGTTACAGCTCCCTGAGAAAGTGTCAGATTGATGATTGTAGTTTTAAATCTTAAGGCTGTGTCTCCACAGAGCTGCTGATAACGCTCTATATGTGGTGACTGTTTTATTCACTTTTAAGTATTCTATCATTTAAGGTTTTTTAAAGTACTTGGCTGCTGTATGATTTCTTTATGATAAGTTTAAGATACAACCGCTGCTTCACAACAGGTTTGTCGTAAAACATGCTTACATCTTGAATCCTTTAGTGACCCCATTCTGTGTGGTGTCTTTATGTGTAGCTTAATATCACAGTTTATTATGGAACATGTAAGTATTGTGTGCATGTAGACAAACCAGTTGTGAATCAGGAGATTCTGTCAGTATAATATTACGTTTTAAGGTACTGCTATAGCTTTTTTTTCACCTCCCATTTTTTAAATCTCCTATACAAGCTTTTAGCCAACTTTTAAGCAATGTTGGCTATTGTGTAAGAGCCACAGCTGGACACATTTAAAGTTTTATTTTAATTATATTTTAGCAGCTTTTCCCAGACGAGATGTATCTGAGATTTGAGCAGTTTTTAAATTGACGCTAACCAATGAAAACAGTCCAGATTACGACTGTTTGTTTACCGCTCATGCCTTTTGTTGGTGAGAAAGTTGCATGCAATCTATGTAGACCAACTTCTTTCAGCAACACATTTTAACGAGTACTATGTAATGCCCCACTTATTACTGCAGCTACATAGAACAACACCTAAACACAGCCGTCAGTGGTGCAGCAGAAAGTGTTTTTATTTGAGCACAGACGCATGATTGTTGTAGAAACCATTCTGTGTAACCACTCTCCATAGATAGAAACAACATGTGTGCACAGCAGGGCTTATTTGACTTATTCTAATTTAGATTATGGTCAAAAAGCCTAAACAAATCTACAATTAAAGTACGTTTTTTCTTTGAGGTGTGGCCCTTGAACCTAAAGGCGTCAGTGTTTATGAGCAGTGCTAACAATATGTCTGAAGAAACTTTTAAACGGTAAAGGAAATGAACAGAGTGGAGATTAATCCATTTATCTGGTTATTGCCAATTAGTGTTCTCACTGTTGTTTTATCTTGACTTCATTTGCACTGAGTTTCTCTTTGTATTTATTCGGCCATATTGTGTTTTAATCTGTTCAGGTACTGTTTGATTTGAAACTTTAACTACCACTGAAACAATTATTATAAGGTCTGGTTTGGGTTCTCTAGAAATGGTTGAAGTACTTTGTTTTATTCACTCTCCTTTTGTTCAAGTGTTTTTAACGTGTGCTTACAGAGTTTACAGTGTATCCTGCTACTGTAGCAACACACACACACATATTTATTTAAACAATGAGGGTCTATGCAAGTATAAAAACATGGGGCCTGGTCCTAGAAACACACACAGACTGAGTTGTTCTATTTGGGTACAAAAACAACACATACAACTCTATTGAATGTGTTGACTTTAACGTGATAGTTTTCATATTCATTCTGTGTGTTTCTGGGCTTGCATCGTCTGGCCTTCTGAATCTAAACATGTTAGCAAAAGTAATTTTGGACGAACCTTTTCTTGAGACCTTCATTTGAAGTTTCCTGACTCTTGACTTCTTGGCATTTTAACTGACCTATGTTTACCTGTTTGATACCAGTGTTAATAACCTTCTTATCCCACTGATGGTGATGAAATGTGGAACAAATCCTCAGCTGTCAGTCTTATTTATGATTTTAAAAACTCCTGCTTTGTCTCCCGCACTGAGTGTAACACATGTTTACTTCATTCTTCCTCTGATAGATTTATCAATTCTCCTTTTCTGGATTAATGGTTGTCATAAAGTGGGCACATTGCACGCTTAATAAACGTTTTTAGCAACAAAGGAACTTGTTTTTCTGAAGTTATTCTGTCCATGTCTGCTTCACACATTAATTAAAGTGGACCTGTTATGCTATATTGGAAAATATATTGTAGGGCCATACCTATACAAAACATGTCTGTGAAGTTTTTTGCTTCAAATACCAAACAGATCGCCCATTGTAGCCATGCCTCATACTGCTCATACTGCTCAAACCCCTCTTTTGCAGCCCTGTTAGAGAAACAAGGATCTTGGGTCCTTCGCTTGGGAAAAAAAAAAAAAAGGAGGCGGAGCTAATGCCTGATCAGAATTCTACCGGAGATAAAGTTAAATTCTGCTGTGATAAAACGCCATCCTGTTCTAAACCACATCAAGGATTATTTCTGAAACAGTATGGAGCTCAAATGCTTTTTCTCTTGCAGGTTTATCACAAGGTGAGTTCCTTTTTTTATTTCCTGCTTTTTAAACACATGTGCTCTCCAGTACAGGTTAGCTCTGAGTGTTAGCGAGGCTTGCTAATGTAAACAAAGAAGAGATTACGTTCAAAACACGTCAGGCATTGTTTCTGATGGCAACTGTCTGTGGGTCCGCCGCCGATATTACGACATATCGGCAGCAAATCTGTATCCGCTCGTTGTACCCCCGTTTTTAAACATTGGGTACGGAGGAAAAGAGAGAGGGTTTTATTTTTTACGCTGCGTGAGTTCCCCGACACACCGGGGACACATATTTATGTATAAAAGACATCAAAAAGTGCATTTTGCATGATAGGTCCCCTTTCAGATTTATTAGTTTTAATTCATTAATAATTAAATTAGGCTCAAATAAAATTGGATGCATGGTTAGCAGGAGGGGGATGAGAAAATGTTGTTTGTTGGGATTTTGGTGAACTTCTGAATTGCTCTATCTATACTAAAATGTGCACGCATGCTCCACAAAACACACATATATATACTTAATGCTATCCATTGTATCCTGAGTAAGCAACATAGTGTTTTCAACTTGAAAAAAGTGCATGTTTTTGAGCAAAATGTACCTTGAAACTCCACAATCATGACTACATTTTTTGCCTGCTATAAAAAAAAAAGTAATAAGACACAATTTGATGTAACGATGAAGAAACCTCCTTTATTTTTCACTCCATTTCACATCTACACAATTGTAAATATATAAAAAAACAATAAATGATTAGTGCAACATGACCGCCAACCTTTATTGAATTGATAAACAAACAGAAATTGTCTTTTCTCATCAGGAATCAGCCGCCAAATAAATCAAGTTGCCTGAACATGGTACATGGCAACACTGCAGCTTTTATATCGCCTAACAAACCTCCAATTAAAGGTGGGGTAGGTAATTCACTTCAGAAACACTTGTTATATTCCATGGAATGCTCTTAACATCCCGATAGCAATGAATACATTAAATGCTTTGACAATAAATACATACAAATATTTCATCTGTGGAAGCCGTGGCGCTGTAAAAAGTACGACCAATCATCTGAGCCGGCCCGGCTAAAATAACTGGATGGCCTACCTGCCTGTCAGCCTTCCATCTGTGCACAAACTTATCTCGTGCCCTCATTGGTCATGTGCGCGTTCGTGTGTGTTGGAGGAGGGGCTCTGTAAGGAAGTCTGAAGGAAGGGGCAGATTGTTTTCGGCTGCGTACTTTCAAATTCTAGCGCACTCGAGCTGGTTTCTCCATTTTTACCTACCCTACCTTTAAAGCTGCACACATTATTCATATCATCTTAAATCCAATGTTCCCAAAATGTTCATATATTAAAATGAAATGATCTCCCCAAGACTGCATGCATTTGCTGGCTCTAAATTAACTCTTCGTCAGCTCTGTTGTTTTAGTTTTTACAATGTCTTTTCAGATTTTCAATCACAGTCCTTTATCAAGGTTGAAAGTCACTTATCGAAAAATAAAACTCAAAACGAATGTGCCCTTCACAAACTGTACAACAGATTAAAGAGGAATTTTCACGACAAAGCTAAACTCCTGACACTAACCATGAATATTTACATATCTCACAACCATCAAGATGAATGAGAAGTCATGTGAGTGTCAGGCAAAACAAAACAATAAAACTTCCAAGGAGAAATACATATTGCCCGCACTCAAAAAAACACAAGAGTATGCCATCTTCCTGGTAATAAAATTAGAATAAAATATAATTTAACACATCTTTTCCAGAGACGTTCACTCTAAAATAAGTCCTTCCTGTGACCTACAGTAATGAGAGAATAACTTTTCTATTCAGCCAAAATATCAAGTGATTTATTTGCCTAATTGCATCCATTGTTAATTAGTCCTCAGAACAGCGGACATACAAACGTTCTCATGATTGACCCAAAACGTAATTAAGCTGCCAAATTATAAATAAGAGTAATTATAAGTAATAAGAGTAATAGAGTGGGGAAGGAATGAGTCCTAAAACCTGGAAATGAGTCAGCATTTGATCACTTCCAGTTCCTTTGTCTCAGAGTCACCGTATTTATGTTGACAAAGATAATGAAATAAAATCTGTGGTTTACCCAAGCTGAAGAGATTTTAAACTTTTTGTGTTACGACATTCAATAAGTATGTAAATAACCCACTAAATGTCATTATAGCCTAACATTAGCCGCCGTTAGCTTAGTGGTGGGGACGTGAAGTCATGTGACCGTGCTGTAGTTCCTTTATAGCCCAACATTAGCCACCTTTAGCTTAGCGGTGGTGACGTGAAGTCATGTGACTGTGCTGTAGTTCATTTATAGCCCAACATTAGCCACCTTTAGCTTAGCGGTGGTGACGTGAAGTCATGTGACCGTGCTGTAGTTCCTTTATAGCCCAACATTAGCCGCCTTTAGCTTAGCGGTGGTTACGTGAAGTCATGTGACCGTGCTGTAGTTCCTTTATAGCCCAACATTAGCCGCCTTTAGCTTAGCGGTGGTGACGTGAAGTCATGTGACCGTGCTGTAGTTCCTTTATAGCCCAACATTAGCCGCCTTTAGCTTAGCGGTGGTGACGTGAAGTCATGTGACCGTGCTGTAGTTCCTTTATAGCCCAACATTAGCCGCCTTTAGCTTAGCGGTGGTGACATGAAGTCATGTGACCGTGCTGTAGTTCCTTTATTGCCTAACGTTAACCTTATACTTAAAACAACATATAGATATATAAACGTGCGTCTTTTTTCTGAAATAGCCCAAAATTCTGCATAAAAATCCCATTGCTTTCATTTTTTTAATATTAGAAAAACTAAATCACTGCGCCACTTAGCAATAAAACTCTGTACAAAGTAAATCAAATAACTTCAAGTATGACTCATGTAGATCAAGATACGTGTGCCTTTAAAATGCAACTTTAAAACAACCTGAACACATGAACACTTATTTTTCCCAATGCGTCCCCAGGTGAAAACGCAGTCCTC